ATTGCTAGTTGCGTTATACAACGCAGCGGTAGACTGAGGGTACCGGCTGCTAACACGAACCGTTATTCTAACTCATTCATTGCGAGGGGCATTTACCTATTTAATAGTAGATATGTAAGATAGTTATTTTTATTGCATTGAATTACTTTTCCTGCTTAATTTATTGAAAGAGCGATGTAATTTCCAAGGATTTGGATTAATAAAGTGATGTCTATGTCTATGTCTATGTCTATGTCTCTATCGAGGTCAGCAGGTATGTGCTGTCATACAACCCCATGCACAGTAACCACAGCATACTGATATGTGTGCACATCTCCATTGACGACACCCCTTCAGTAGACGTTTAATAAAGTACAGTTTTGTGTAGACAACATTTGACACTTTTGACGTGTAAGTTTTTCTTCCTTATTGTTTTCAAGTACAGTACCTGGTTTAATCATATTGTGTAATTTACAAGATAGGCCTATATATGAAATTGTATAATCCTGTCTCTAATTGACATGAAACAAAGTAGGCCTACCTAAACCTAGCCTATTTCCAGTGGCGGATTTAGGAGGGGGTGGCACGTAAGGGGCGTACGCCCCCCCCCCCCCCCATGCCCCCCCCCCCCATTTTTTTGCAAAGAAAAAATTACACCCACAGTGTTTAAGTTTTCTTTTCCTACCAAAAACACTCCTAGGAGATTGCTATTCATAAATCCACTTGGTGAGAAATAGAACACTTGTAATTTACTCAATGTTAATATACAGTAGCGGATTTTGTTGTTTGACGACTTTTTTAATGGATTTTGGATATTAGTTTTCCTTTTTGCTGATTTTGTGATTTTTATGCTCAATGTTGCTGAGAAACTTCATCATGTTTTCTAGAAGTGAAATTTCTCTTTTGAAATGGTGTACATATGAGCCTTTGCATGTTGTCAAAGATTATGTTTGAGATGGTCGTGGAAGAGGCACTAAAACCCACAGCTGTGAGTAGATGAATTATTACTAATTTAATGACACATGTCATAGTTGTATATTGCAGGTACCCTGTATATTAAAATTTCTTTTAAAAGACATAACTGTACACTTATTTTTTTATTTATTTATTTGTTTGTTACTGAACCCTACCATGCTAGATAGTCAAAATCGACTCAATACAACCTCATATTCCTCAAATGTGCTGGGCTTCAAGGGGGCTTCGAACCCTTGGACCCCACCAGGTGTTCTGCCCCTCGATCCCACCGGGGGCCCTAGGTGGCCCCCTGGCCCCAGCCTAAGGCTGCTCGCTTCGCTCGCAGATTGCGCCCCACCCCCTTTTCTGACATGCTGGATCCGCCCCTGCCCTCGGTGCTTCGTCGCCTGGGCAGGCTACCCTGTCTCTTATACACATCTAGATGTGTATAAGAGACCACCTTTTGCTAAATCCTGTATCCGCCCCTGATCTCAAAATCGACAAAAATGTCAGAATACGTTGTTTTGCCTCGGGACGGCCGACCAGAAAGCAGGATTAAAATCGTAACGGTACTGGTATGGTCTACAGGAGTTCGTGTTTCGTACAGGTCATTCCATTCATAGAAAAAGCCTTTATATTGGAGAAAGCGTACCTGTCGTTACCCATAGTAGCCTAGATCAATACTAACTCCGGCTATATAAAATTGATTATAAGATTGAAAAATATTAATTTTTTATTGTAGTAGTGATACTATGTACACGTTTTAGTTATTGTTATTTATTCGTTAACGTTATTATATTTATATCTAAATTTAATGTATTGTTTAAGTATGAATTACTATGTCCATGTTAAATTAGAAGAGATTTGGAGTGGCTGAAATATTTTCCGAAAATATACAATAGTAGTCAATATGCTATTATTGCATTACTTTTTTGTAAACAGTTTTGGGAACTAATCGTCAGAGATCTCGGTGCTATGCCTATTACTATATTATTTAAATATACAATTTTAATAGATAAGATTAATTTAACATGGACATAGTAATTCATACTTAAACAATACATTAAATTTAAATATAAATATAATAACGTTAACGAATAAATAACAATAACTAAAACGTGTACATATTATCACTACTAGGCCTACAATAATAAGATTTTTCAATCTTATAATCAATTTTATATAGCCGGATTTAGTATTGACCTAGGCTACTATGGCTAACGACAGGTACACTTTCTCCAAAGGCTTTTTCTATGAACGGAATGACCTGTACGAAACACGCGAACTCCTGTAGACCATACCAGTACCGTTACGATTGTAATCGTGTGGGAAATAGGACCTATCCTCAAGATACATTCTTATATATTATTATTAATATTATTTTTTAATTAATCTATTTATTTATTTATTTTAAATCGTTTAATTACGCATTACATAATGTTCATGTGTACTATATAATAATAGTGGAATTATGTAATTTATTGAAAATATATTGGTATAGTACGGTAGTATGTATATGTAACGATAAAAACAATACGATAAATACAAAAAATATGACATTTAACAGTGAAGTAAAGATAGAAGGAAGAAAAAGAAAAGAAATTACGGAGTGGCTCAAAATATTTTCCGAAATTTGTATATAAAATGAGTATGTTTTTAAACAAAAGTTTGGGGCACTAATCGTCAGAGCTACATGTCCATACGAGCCTAACCACGGGGAAAACCTTAACATTTTCAAGAATTTCAAGTCATTAAAAGACAGCTCGAGAATTTAAGAAAGCCATCTGGCGATCAATATTTTCAAAATTATGTAGGGGCCTACATATATACACACATAAATAGGCCTGAGAAGATCCCTTTCTTTTATAAAAAAGAAAATTGACACCACCCCCACCCCCCCCCCCCCCC